CTATAAGCATGTTAGCCTATGGTTAACTTGGGAAACAAATTAGATACATAGCAATGATATGTAACAATACAAGTTTGCTACATTATCTTCAAGAAGTTTATAGAATTAAGGATTAAGCATAATCCCTCAAAATTCCACATGCTTGACTACCTAAATTAGAGTGTAGCCATGACATGTTCACTAACCTAGGGACTATCAAACCCCTTAATAATTATGGTAATAGCATATGAAGTTAAGACTCAAGATTAATCCATCAAAAGGAGACCCTAAGCTATGGAGTAACAAGTTTCTCAAATACATGCCAATAAGAACATTTTCACAATCTCATTTCCATTGTCACTATGAAAAAGAAAGTAATATGATCATGAGTGGAAACAATCTAAGACAAGATAATCAACTCAAAATGATCATTTATAGACATTTAGGTCCATTACATCAAATGTAAAGCTCTAGATCATGAAAATACCATATATAAACTTCGTTTCCCAAAATTAAACCAAAATTAAGACATGCTTACAAGGAGGGGCTTCATCACCTCCCTAGAAAGGGAGCTAGTTACCCATGAATGCAAAGGAGGAGGAAATTGAAGTGAACTCACCCTCCATTTTCGCACTTAAGATAAGCTCCAACCCAAAACCTCTCTAGAGCAATATTTTTCTCTCTAAAAATATCCTATAATGTGTGATATCTCTTTCCATGATACAAGCCACCAAATATATCCTAAAAATCTTATCTATCTCCCCTAATTCGTGGCTCAGAAATCCCAAGAAAGAAGCCTAGCCATTCATTCAGTCAAAAGGGACAACTTGAGCAAAATCATGGAGTGGGTGAACAGCTTTTTGCAGATTGGCGGGCGCCTGCAGTGCAGGGCGAGCGCCCAGGTTGTGTCGCGAGGGAGAGTTGCTACACTTGGTGGGGGCCCGCATGCCATGGCAGGGCCCCGCAATTTCTGAATCATTTTGCCTCATTTGGCGGGCGCCTGCAAAGCTACAGCTTTGATTCTTCACTTTGCTTCTTGAAATGATCTCTGCTTGGCCTGATAGCGTGATCATCTTCCTTAATGCTTTTTGTAGGGATAACCATAAGTTTAATGGGTCATAGGCTTGACCAAAATGAAGGTCCCCGGCAATGGTGTGCTTTGATTCTTCAAGAACTCATCAAAGCATCTCTTTTAACTCTCTTTGGGGAACCAACCTAAAAATAAACAAAAGCATGCAAATGAAACTAATATATATATAATATGATCAACTAATGGACTTAACTAATGTAAATAAGGGCGCTTGAATATGCAATATTCAGCGCTTATCAGATGGGATGTGTACGCATACAAGAATGGGTATGGACATCAGAATATCAGTAGAAGCTTTCTCATTTGGTGTTGTTGGAGGGAATGTCAATATTGGATTTAAATTTTAATTTGAATCCTAACCCTGATTAGAACTTTGGCCAGTGGTGGCGACAACAGAATGGGACAGTAGCTCTTTGAGAATACCTGTTAACTCATCATGATTAGCATCAGCCTTCCTTATTATCTCCATAAATGTTCAGGCATCCACTTTGTGATGAGAGAAGTTTCCATGAGAACCGAGAGGAGGTTGTGCAGATGGAATCCGTTGATTAATGCCTTTCATTATTTCAAACTCCTCCTCAGCTGCCTTTAGTAGTATCCTTATCTTTGCCACTTCATCAATCAGATCAGCCTTGGATACGTCAATGATGGTGGCCTCTACACCTTCAGGTAAGTAATTGCCCTCAGTGACTGTCTTGTTGTTGAGGTTGAGGATCCTATCCAATTGTAATGCATTTCTGATCTGCTCCATTGTGTTGGAGGAAACCGATGGTGGTCTGGGATTATAATGTTATCGATTTTTCCTATTTTCCATTTTCTAGGTTATTTTCAATTTTTCTAGATTATTTTAATCCTTGCCTCGTTTTGCGTGCCATACGAGCCCCGAGGGACTTTTGTCATCTTTTTTTGAGCCGAGGGTTTTGAAAATTTATTTATTTATTTTTATCATTTTAAGTTAATTAGAAGTGACGGTATCATTTTTAGAATTTTGCGGAAGTCAGGACGATTTCTAGACTCGGGAACTTCTCTCGATTTTCTCATCTTAAGTGAGGGGCGTCATTGGTATTTCACATGCACACGCATGTGCGTGTGTGTATATATAGGTATATGTATTCATTAAGAAGATATTTTGGGGGCAGTCATGTCATTATAATGGAAGACCAAGGGCAAAGAGGTAACTTTGCCTAAATTTAGTAATTTACTTGGACAAGTGGCACCCTAAGGGCCAATTCTTCAATTGCAAGACTAAGCCCTCACTTTCTCTTCCTCATTTCGTGTATCTCTCTCCCTCTCTAGCTTTTCCCTCATTCTCTCACTATAACTATACACATATATGTTATATATCATTCAAGCTTTGATTTGGAGAGTTTAAGGTGGGATTTTGAGCATGAGTAAGAAGGGAAAGTTGGAGTGCTTGGCATGAGCTTCAAATTGAGGCCAATATTGCTAGGGTTTAGAAGGATTTCGAATTTTGGGAAGCTTAGGCCTTGTTTGGCTTGCTCCATTGAGGTAGGGAAAATTTAAATTACAAGTCCTATAGTTTTAGTGAGTTTCTATGTACTTTCTTACATGGAAATCTTGATGTTGTGAAGTATGCTTAGTTTGTAAATTTTGGTTGTGATGTTAAGCATAAGATAATGTTGATTAATTGTTTTGGGTTGAGAATATGATGGTTTCTTGTATTTGTGCCAAGCATGCTATTTTCATATGACAAAATGTGAAAGTATGAATTATATAATTGATTTTTATGTTTGGATGTTTTGATATAATGATTATGATGTAAATCATAATTTGTATATTGATGAATGGTAGTATAATATGCATATTCTTGGCATGGGGTGAGTTGAGAGGATGAAGGTTTGATGTGGAAGAGAAGGTTAGGAAGTGAGATGATGGGTTGTGTTATAAGTTAGGTGATGGTTATGAAGGTTTTGGTGAGGTTGGGTTAGAAAGGAAGAAGGGGGCATTTGCATTCCATGTATGATGGAATGGTTTGTGAATTTATGAAATTCATGTATGATGATATGCCTTATATTCCCATGATCCCCTTTCTTGAATCTCCTTTTATTTGGTTGTGGCTCACAGGATTTTTAGGAATGTAATTTAAGCTTTTTTTACTGAGCTGTTGAGCTCATCCTATGATTGTTAACATTTTTCAAGAATTTGGAGATGAGTCAGTGAATTATATGCATCCATGGATATTGTTGTAGTTAGGATTTCAATATTTTTTTAAAGCTATGTAATTTTGGCCATGGAGGCCTCATTCCTTGTATTTAATTCTTTAGAAATTGTATAAAATGATATTTATATAATTCGATCTTTAAATGATGTATTAGACTCGTATTCAGTTTAATTGAAGGCACAAGAGTTTAATTATGTTTTACACACTCTCAATTGCATGATTTGGACAAGTTTAGATCTTAAATGAATTCACCAAGGGACCAAAGGGGGTGTTCATGTGCACAAGTACTCAATTTTAGGCTTTTCTTGGCTAATTTTAAGGTCCTGGTCATCTTGAACCGATTCAGCCCCAAGTGATGAAAGAGCAACTGGCTCACCATTGCAAGAGGAGTTTAGCTGATAGCATAAGGTGGGGTCACCTTGGTTTCCATTTTGGTGTAAAGTCATATCTTCAGCATGTAAAGGAGGATGGTTAATGTTATCTTTGGATGAGACAACTGTTTTGTCTTTTGGGTGTGGCATTATTGGTACAGCATGTGGAGAGCATGTGATATTATTGCCTTTTTGGGTAAGCTGTGGAGGGAGAGCCTATGTAGATGTGTTGACCATACTAGGAAATTTGAAATTCAAATTTGAAACCAAACCTGGGGGATCCTCTGTGGCAGTGGAGGTTGGTGGTGGAGGATGGACATCTGCTGCTGTTGCTGTGGTGACGCTTGTGGTGGAGTTTGGTGGGGGTTGATCAGTGATTGGGGAGGATGGATGTGGTAGATCATGATGATGCTTTTGTGCTTTGAGTTCAGCCAGCTCAGCTCTCAGTTCAGAGATGGTTTTCTTGAGTGCATTGTACATGTCCATGGCTCTACCAAGGTTCTCATCTTTCCATTCAAGTTGCTCTTGCAGCCTGTCAATCTGATGAACTGGGGAGGAGTAGCGAAGAGGGTTGAAGTTCCTTGGTAAGTTGGGGTTAACAGGTGGAGAATTCTATGAGGTTTGATGTGAGTCATTTAAAGGTAGCCTTATAGGATTAATGGAAGCTGTGGGGAAGTGAAGGTGTGGTTGACCAGAATATGAGGAAGGGATAGGTGGATGGTAGATTTGTGTATGTAGGGAGGTGATGTGTGGTTTTTTGAGTATAGTTTTTTGGTTTGTCTGCTTAGGAGGTTCAGCTGGTGAGGGGTGTGGAGAGGTCTGTGGTTGTTGTTGTGTAGAGGGATGTTGTTTGGAGAGGTAGCTACTTGGTTTGTGCTAGAGTTAGGATGCTTCAGGTTAAAGGGGGGTTTGAGGTGGTTGGCAATGGGGTTGGCCGTTGATGGACATTGCTTGTGGTTAGAGGTTTTTGGTTTGAAGAGAGGTTTTCTCAGGGTAGCCATAGTTTATGTTACTAGCTTTGATATACAATGTAAATGGGCATTTCCATATCCACCTTTGCCTATTATGAGCTTCCTTGAGAAGTTCATTGTAGGACTTCTGATTTCTTGTGCAATATCCAATAAACAGAACTGCTATAACAACCCCTAAAAACCCAATAACACAACCACAAGTTCTGTAATTGCTATTGTTTTTTGTCCAGGATTCCAAAATTATAGAAATTTTGCCTACTTAATTTCTTTTAAATGTTCAGTGTAAGGCTTAAAAAACATATAAAATAATGGTTGTTTTTACACCAAGGTAACTAAATCACCTGAACATTCCACCATTATACTCTTAACCGAAAAAAAAAAAAATATCCCACCATTATAAGTTGCACTGCCATAATAAATAGAATTTTATTGATGCTAAATGCACAACTAGTGATAATATTTGGATGTTCACATGCAATTGGCCCAAGCAGGTTTATCATGGAAACCACAAAAAACATGGAAACCATATAACATTTATTTAGTTTTCGTAACAGTATCTCATTGAATGAGGTCAATCATGGATACTTGTATTTCTTCCAATGTTCGTCGTTTTGTCTCTGGCACCAGTCTTGCAACAAAGAGAACAATTAAACAGCAGATGGTTGCGAACATGAAGAATACCCCTAAACCAATGTGGTCTTATTAGTACCATGTGAAGAATACACAACACACACATACACACAAAGAGACCTCACCTGCTGAGCTCCATTCAAATATAAAGTTGAAAGTGTAGGAAACAATCCAAGAACCAATCCAGTTGACCAAAGTCACCAAGCTTCCAGCTGAACCCTTAATGTTGATAGGAAATATCTGAAATAGCAACACATATTTAAGCTATATCTGTGCTTTCTTGCCATATAAAACTCTGGTTAGCAATTCTATACAAGAAAATAGAGTTCGGGGCAACGAAGTTAAACTACCTCTGACATGATAACCCATGGTGTACCACCCAGGCCAGTCGAAAAAGCAGCAGAAAATAGCTTGTTGCAGAATCAGAAGATGTATGCACATAAACACATTCATATCTCAATTTGTTCCATCAAAATGTAATAATTTGGCTAAGACAAAATGGAAAGCAAATATTTTATTTTATTTTATTTTATTTTATCCTGTAAAGCAAATAAATGACTAACAAGCTTTGGGCTATTTTACTTTAAGTTTGACATGATGAAAAAAATATATATCACAAGAATTTATGTTAATGGCTATGGGAGTAACTGTGGTCATTCACAGCTTCACAAAGCAAGCACAGAGCATTGCATACACTCATTTGTACCCCAACATTATATTTATGGGGAGGTTGTGTGGGAATGTGAGAAAAAAGTGATCAAAACTATTTTTTTTTTTTTTTTTTTTTTTTTTTTGCTAGGTAAAAAAATAAATAATAATAAAAACTTCAATTAGAAATTTTCTGCTTTGATTTATATCAAAACAGAGGATAGAACTACCATTAGATTAGACAGCGTACCAGTATGCCACTAAGAATCAATATGGTAGTGAGCTCCGCCTGTTGATGAAAATCCTGGTGGTGATAAATCAATGTTTTAGGATATAACTCTCTTTGAACATAAAATAAAATGGTATATAGTTTCAAAGAAACCTGCAATAGGAATGCAAGTCCTGCAAGAAAGGTTCCTAAGCATGCTACAGATGCACTAACCTACAAAGATTTTGATCTATCAACTACATTAAAATACCAAAATAAATTAAAAAAAGAAGAAGAAATTTCTCTTTCACACACTAACCATCAGAAGTGGTCGTCGTCCAAATTTATCCATTGAGAGTACACCAAAAATAGAAAATGGAATCTGCAAAGACTATCAACATCATCTAAGAAGTGCCTCAAATAAAATACATGAAAAGAGTTAAGAACCTGAATAGCAGCCATTGCCGTAGTGCCAACACTACCCGAACAACCTGCCATAAACGAGACATAGGCTCAGATATTCATTCTTCAAACTAACTCTTTCAATTCATTAATTACTTAATGACACTACTAAAGATCCTTAATTTACCAGCAGCTTCAAAAATAGAACTTGCATAAAATGCAATTGGACCGTTCCCTCCAAATTGTACCAGTAACATTAGCCCGACTCCAACCTAATGCAATTTGTTGTACTCATGAGAGGTCCGAGAAGTTGTGGAAAAGGTAACAATACACAATTACTTTGGATTAATGTTGAGGCTTACAATGAGTGAGTGAGCATATCTCCTCTCAAACAGGTCTAAAATTCTGGAATGTGAGAGTTCTTGAAGATTTTTTGTGTAATCCTGTATAACAAGGACTTGTTTAGTTCATCGTTGCTGTTCTTGGAAATGGTAAAAAGAAAAAAAAGGAAAGCATGAATTTTCTTCTTCTAAACAGTGACTTTTGAATTAACATGTGAAGTTCAAATGTTACCTTGATTTCAGCTGCTTCTTGAGAAATATCACATTTTTCCCCCCTCAGACGTTGCAGAGTCGCTTCTGACTCTTTCTCTTTACCAATCTTTGCCTGCAAACAAAAAAACATTAAAAAAAAAAAGGTGTGTGTATATCAGTATATACAACCATTAGGATGAGTCATTTTTCGACTAAAAAAGCTTTAAAATAATTTCTTTTAACAAAAATTTGAGCACTCCATTTTTCTTTTCAATTTTACTTCACTCTTTTTGACGAAAAATTAACAATCCATTTAACACCACTTAAAAACACGATCAACTGTTGAACAGAACTTACCAACCATCTCGGAGACTCTGGTATGAAGAACAAACCAACAACTTGTACCAGACATGGTACAATACCTAAAATTGAAACAAAAAATGCAAGCTCATATTAATGGAACCACCTTCAGACCTTACAAAACGATACAAAAGTGAAGCAAGGTACCTATTAAAGCCAAAGAGCGCCAAGTAATGAGATTTCCAACGAAAAACATCAATGACATGCCACAAGATACTGATAACTGTAAAATTGCCAAAACATATAACAGAGGAGATGATTCTTTAATCCAAAGTTATGATAATTTTGATTTACCTGATTCATTGATGAACATCCTCCTCGAATATTCTTAGGTGCGATTTCTGCTATATATACGCTTACCTGTTTGGCAATGAGAATGTAAGCCAGATTATGCTGATACATGGACAAAGAAATCAATAATCTGCAACACTTACCACATAACAATTAATCCCAACTCCAACTCCCAATAAGAGTCTTCCAATGTCAAGCCACCAAGCTCCCTTTTGACGAACAAAAAATATCAATCATGCCATCCAAAAAAAATTGAAAAATAAAATACTGACTTGATTTAGATTGACTGATCTGTCACTCTCTTTCTTTCCCCTTTTTTTTTTTTTTTTTGATGCTCTTATGAACTGTCAAAATACATATAACTTAACATGTTTCTCAAGCAACTTCATAAAAAAGTTACTTACAATGCTGCTATTTTCTAGTTCTGTCATCTATTTAAAATGAAAAACAAGGTGAAGAGTGATCACAGCATGTAAGGTGAACCAAAAAAATTAAAAATTGAAAATAGGTTCACTTAGAAATTTTTCGTAATCGCACTTGGTTTCCCAGGAAGCCAATTCTTATGAAGTTGCTTTATGAACACCTCAATGCCTCTTGATTGCTAAGATGTGTGTGAACATATAACACTATGGTTGTGGGAAGGAAACAATCGTAATAAACCTTTGCGAAAATTATTGAAAGCCACCCCATGATGCAAAATATTTGCAAGAACCACATAGCCTGTATAACAACATCAACCAAAATAATAATAAAAAAAATTGTAGAGTGATTGCAACAAGAATTTATACTATGGGCAGAGGTCTGAAGGGTAGGAGGAAATTACTCCTTTCCGGCCAATGAGATCTGTGACTTTTCCACTTATTACTGCACCTAACATTCCTCCAAATGTCAATGTTGATCCGAAAACTGAGTACTGCACAAAGTGGAAAGAGAATAAACAAAATCGATCAAACAGAAAAGAATATAACTAGTATTGACATGAAAAAATCTATTGAGCTGATTGACTCCGTTGTCTCAACAAGTGTCTTCAATATCAATCGGCTTCATACAAGTGCTCAAATTCAAGTAGTTTGATAAATAGAGCTCCAACTTTAGTAAATTCACTTAACATGGAAATGGTGTAGCCCAGTGTAGTTGTTCTGTTCTGAACCCTTAACTATTTTCATTTTCTATAGACATTAAACAACATTGAATTTTCTATAAAACCCAAGTTAAAAATACATGAATACAATTATTATTAGTTAGATTAGTTGAATTTGGGATCTTCTGCTTATATTGTTACAATGTTCATCTGAAGTGTGTTACATTGCTTTTCACAGTCTCATTCTCACCTTGAGAAGCTACCGATAACAAATTTTCGTCCTAACAAATGACATGCATTCTTATTTAAATTCAGAAATGCACAAGGAATGACATACATTCAGTACCATGTTTCCTAAAATAAGAGATTGGTACACCCCAAATGTGATGTCCCGTCACTTGGAGGAGAAGTTGCTGACACTTATAAAAGAATGTCATTTTGAAAACTATGAAAACCATGAGCACAGTAAAGATGCAAAGGGGACAATATTTACGCGGTGTAGGACAGATCTAGCACTACAAAAAACTGACAGTATTTGCACAGTGGGGCGGGTCGCGACACAAAAAGAAAGGGAATTAAATGATAAGTACTTACTTCTGCCGTAGAGAGGCCCAGGTCAGTCATGATGCCAGACTCAGCAGGAGATGAATATCCAGCCTAAAAAGCAAGCATAAACCACAAACTAGTTAGATGTCAATTGATCAAGCACCTAGTGCTCAGCTCCATGAACATATACAATCATCAATTGTTAATTAGGTTATCCAAATCGATGGGCTGTTTTGTTTTCTGTTTCTTTTTCTCTTTAATGTCAAAAAAAATAAAATAAAATAAAAAAATAAAAAACTTTAAGAATTTAAATACAGTAAAAAATTTAATGATATTCTCTTGCTTGCCCATAAAAATAAATAAATAAATAATAATAATAAAATAATAAAAAAAAATTGATTTAAATAAATAATATAAGTTCAACCCATCTTGACTTGTATTGAATATTCCATAATGGGTTAAACTTTTTGCGCCTGGGCCCACTTTTTATTTAATTTTAGTACGTGGAAGTGATATTTCTTATTGTCAAAATTATAGTGTAAATAAAAAATAAATAAATAATTGTGTAGATACAATGTAAACTCAACAAAGTAGATACAAAATGACGAACTCATAACAATCATCATCCATCCTCCGTCTAGAGCCTCGATTCGGTTAAGTGGCTCATTTCGTACCAGAGAAGCCTACGTATGAACAAGGATTAAATGATGTGGAGATTGTGTAATGCTTATTCTCAAAGTATACAAACTCAACAATGGTTTAAATCCCATGCACTTACAGCACATCCATAGCCGAAAGAACCGGAGACAGCGACAAAGATGCTGAGGACGACCACCGCTGTGGTGGCGGAGGAAGCACTCACTTCTTCGCTGCCGCCACCGCCATTGCCGTTTAGTAACTCTTCTTCCATGCTTGCTCAGTTCTATGCTTCTCTGCTTGAAAACAGGACAGAAGAGGTGGCAAGGTTTGGTAGTAGTATTTAAACCAAAAAAAAACAAAAAAAAAAAAGGGTTTGGTAGTAGTAGTAGAGAGAGCATGTGCTTTTGGAAAAAAGTGAAATTAGTTAGTTGAGACTATAGAGTAGAGAATGGTAGTTAAATTGACATATTCAATGCCTTTTTTTGGGGCACACAAATTATTCACCTTTAATAAATTTGTGGAGTTGTTACTTTCCATCCAAATATCTATGGAAAAAAGCGTAGTCCACTTTGATCACTTGTCAATCAATTTTGATTTTATTCAAATTTCCCTCTTACATAACCTATATATATAAATAATTATTTTAAAACTTATTTAGAGCCAATGACCAAATATATTTGATTGGTCTTAATGTAAGAGATAAGATTTGTGGGGATTTACTTTCTTATACTTTGCATACATTAACCAATTGAACGCGTTGGGGTTTAAGAATTCTGTCTAATTCCACAGCTTTAAAATTATTTTTCATCAATAAATTCAGAAAAAAGTTCAAAGGTACATCATTGGATGAAATACAGCCTTGCAGTGATGCAATGATTTACCACGGAATTATAGAATTCGGTAATCTGTTATTGTTTTCTAACCGTCACAATTAAATCAACACTACTTTCTCGTTAAAAAAAGTGAAATGATTTAAAAGTTGATTAGTCTAACATATTTGTTTAAGAACGACTTTAAACAAATAATGACTTTAATGACTTTGACTCCATGAATGCCCTTGATTGTTTGGGCTCGATTTACACGGATGAACTGAAGAAAAATGCAATCCACCTACCACTAATTACAAATTTGACAATTAAATCAACACTTTTGTTTAAGCAATTAATAACCAATTGTATCGAAAACTGTTCAAAAACTTGATTAGCCTTTTTGTTTACCCAGTTCCACTAAACTACAGCTCTTGCTAGTAAAACCTTGCTTAGCATTTATAGGATGAAAATATCACTAAATTACAGTAGTCCTCGAAAATACAAACTTGCTTAGTATTTATTCGGCGAAATATTAGAAAGGGATTTTTTGATTGTATAATGTAGCTCCAACACCGCTAGGTTCGCCGTAGGAACAAAGTGTAGCCTAATAGTACTTCCTTGCCTTCTAAAATAGAAAGTCGAACGTTCAACGTGCCCAAATAACTGTGGTTGATCCAGCAATTAGGCTATTATATCACATTATATAGTATTTCTCATCACAAAATCTCGGTTTGACTGATATGTTCTTCACCTTCTTAAATAGCAGATTGACAATTCAATAATTACCCTATCAACAAGGAGAAAAGAATAAATAAAAAACAATAAAAACCCTTGTTAATAAATAATAATAATAATAAATACTAAAAACCTTTGAGCCAGCAAAAGACAATGTGAGACTCCTTTGTTATTATTATTTTTTTTCGAAAGATTAAGCTAATTGTATATATGAATGTATGTGTCGAAAATGAATTTCTGCAACCTTATAACATATAATTGCCACAGGTGCCTTTTGGTCATTCAATTAATAACCTGTAAAAGTATTAAGCAGTATAGACTGAGGCTAACAACATGTACAAAATGGGATATTAACTCTGAACTTGGAGTTCAAATTGCCATTATTTGGACCGGTACGACTTTTCCAACAGTATCGTTTTATTTCCCAGGCACTTGGATGGGTCCAGAAAAGTTGAACCGGTCCAACTTCTCCGGAACAACATCCCCCCATATGAATTCAAACCACAAATTCAACAAACAAACAAAAAAAAAAAAAAACACAATAAGACAACCTAATATAGCTCCAGAAAGCGCAATAATGTGTAGAATGAGATGAACTTTCACGAATGAGGAAAATGTTACCAAGGGTACGTAACATACAACACACAAATGCATTGATAAATAATGTCGAGAAAATCTCTTCACACCATTAAAAAGAAGCAGAAAAGTGCAATGCTGGGATTGAAACTTGTGAGCGAGAACTAGAAGACCGTAAACTATACATATTGTGGAAATAACAAGCCTACAGATTTGGATGGAAGGATAAAAGAAGAGTATATACATAAAAATACTAGGTTCCATCTCCATCCATTGTTTTGCATGCGAAAATTACTATGCTACAGTTTTATTTCTGTTTCTCAATTTCTAGAGGAGATCCTCGTTTATTCAGTATCGGACCATCCATAGCAGTTATAGCAATTTTACTAAGTTATTTAGTAATTCCTTTTGGCTATCGCCTTGTTCTAGCCGATCTCAGTATTGGTATTTTTTTTATGGATTGCTATTTCAAGTATTGCTCCTGTTGGGGACTTCTTATGTCGGGATATGGATCAAATAATAAATATTCCTTTTTAAGTGGTCTGCGAGCTGCTGCTCAATCAATTAGTTATGCCTTTTACAATCAATTATTACCTTAAGAGCTACACTGATGGAAGGAGAACAAGAGGAAATAATTGTAGAAGAGTATAATATTTCGGGCCTTGAAATGAAGTGGAGAAAAGTGAGCGAGCTGTCTAACATATCAGTATGCTCTAAGTACAAGAATTATATTCATCACTCGGGTGTGTTGTCATTGCTATTGTTTTTTGTCCAGGCTTCCTAAATTATAGAAATTTTGCCAACTTAATTTCTAATGTTCGGCGTAAGGCTTAAAAGACATATAAAATAATGGTTGTTTTTACTCCAAGCTAACTACTTAATCACCTCAATATACCACCACTATAAATTGAAACAAATGAACTTTTATTGATGCTAAATGGAAATCTAGTGATAATATTTGGATGCTCACAATTACCCCAAGTAGGCTTAGTATGGAAATCACTAAAATATGGAAATGTTATAACATTTATTTAGTTTTCGTAACAGTATCTCATTGGATGAGATCAATCATGGATGCTTGTATTTCTTCCAATGTTCGTCCTTTTGTCTCTGGCACCACTCTTGCAACAAATAGAACAATTAAACCGCAAATGGTTGCGAACATGAAGAATACTCCTAAAACAATGTGGCCTTATTAGTACCATGTGAATAATACACAACACACACACACACACACACACACACACACACACACACACACAGAGAGAGAGAGAGAGAGAGAGGCCTCACCTGCTGAGCTCCATTCAAATATAAAGTTAAAAGTGTAGGTAACAATCCAAGAACCGATCCAGTTGACCAAAGTCACCAAGCTTCCAGCTGAACCCTTAATGTTGATAGGAAATATCTGAAATAGCAACACATATTTAAGTTATAACTGTGCTTTCTTGCCATATTAAACTCTGGTTAGCAATTCTATAAAAGAAAATAGAGTTCAGGGCAACAAAGATAAACTACCTCTGGCATGATAACCCATGGTGTACCACCCAGGCCAGTCGAAAAAGCAGCAGAAAATACCTTGTTACAGAATCAGGACACGTATGCACATAAACACATACACATATCTCAATTTGTTCCATCAACATGTAATAATTTGGCCAAGACAAAACAGATAAATGACTAACAACAAGCTTTGGGCTATTTTACTTGAGTTCAAAGTGGTGAAAAAACAAAAACAAAATCATACGAATTTGTGCGAATGTCTACGGGAGTAATTGTGGTCATTCACAGTTTTACAAAGTAAGCACGGAGCGTTGCATGCACTCATTTGTTCCCCAACATTATATTCATGGAGAGGTTGTGTGGGAATGTGAGAAAAGGTGATAAAAACAATTTTTTTTTGCTAGGTAAAGTGAACATAAAAGTAAAACCAAAATCTTCAATTGGAATTTTTCTGCTTTGATATACATCAAAACAGAGGATAGAACCATCATTTGATTACACACCGTACCAGTATGCCACTCAGAATCAATATGGCAGTGAGCTCCTTCTGTTGATGAAAATCCTGGTGGTGGCAATTCAATGTTTTAGGAGATAACTATCTTTGAACATAGAAAAATAAAGGTATATAGTTTCAAAGAAACCTGCAATAGGAATGCAAATCCTGCAAGACGGGCTCCCAAGCATGCTACAGCTGCAGTAACCTACAAAGACTTCAGTGCTGGCTCATCTATCAACTACATTAAAATACCATAAAATAAAAAAAGAAAAAAGAAAATTCTCTTTTTCACACTCTAACCATCAGAAGTGGTGAGCATATCTCCATGAAGTTTTATATTAAAGGTTGTGCCTTTTATTCTAGATAAAACACCCAAAATCTTAAAAAAGAACAGTTAAGAATGCACCACTTACCATCAAATCCTGTTGATCTATCTTGGTCAAAAGTAGATGCAGTAACTTGAAGACGAATTTGAAGTAATGTAAATTTATGAGACTTTGAAGCGTACCCTAATGTCTGCCCTTACCATTTGAATTTTGACGAAACTCCTCAGCATACAAAAAAGTCTCTAAACTTCCGCCGTTAACAATATTGAAAAAAATTCCCTGAATACTATTAAATTGTTTGTAATATAGACTGACAAAAAATTGAAAGAAAGAGAGCATTCAATAATGAAAAACTGAATGCAAAATTTACAAGCATGTCAGTACTATTTATTAATTTGAAGAAAGTTTTTTAAGCTTTTAATGTGAGATTAATTTTTAATTCTTTACATTATCAATCTACTCAAAACTGTTGAATTTAGAAATCCCAGGTAGTTTCGAATCAAATCTATGGCAACAGAGTTTTAGCGTATTCATTACAAAGAAAAGAAAATTGTTTGAGCAATTAAAACGAATAAGAAAAGGTAGTTATATGAGGTGGCCGGAAGTATAGTTATTTGTAGATTAGAAGAAAAAAATTCAAATTGTGTGGTATCAGTGTAGTATTGTTACCTGCATGCAGGGACTACAACTTCATTGAAGGGTGCTAATATTAAACAGAATTGCAGTGTCGTATTGTTACCTGTATGGACTATAACGTCATTGGGAGGAATTGACGTCCATAGAATGATTGATCATTCATATATTTGGAAGAGAGGGGCGAATCGTGATTTAGTGGCATCATCTTCCCATTTTAATGCTTCCCACCATTCCAGATTTCCTTTAATCTTTCTCAAATGAGGTGCACTGTCGATGCCAAAAGGAAATATTTCCAGTTTTGAACATTTGTAAAAAGTAACCTCCTCTAAGGAGGGGCAATGCAAATACAGATGGTTCCTCTTCCTCTTGGAGAAGCCAACCAATTCTGGCATACCACGAAGAACCAAAAGCTTCAGTTTGGGTAGGTTCACGTGTTCAAGCCTCCTGTTTTCCTCCTCCCTCTCATCAAAATCAGCTGAAATTATCTCCTCCATTTTCGAACAAAACCTAATTTTCAATGATTCCAAATTAAGGAGTTGCGGAATCAATCCCCATGAGAACACCTTCTTCATCGATTTGCATCCAAAAATTTCCAAGTGCTTCAGTTTAGTGAAGCTATTGGTGGTGCTACTTAATTGCATTGGTAATTTGTCGCAGCAGATGCCCCTAAAATGATCTAAGCGAGTCAAATGAAGGTGTTCTAAGTTTTCACAAACATCCCCTCGCAATCCATCTTCATCTATCAAATATTCATGTTTACCAGAACGGACAGATAAACCTTTTAACCCACTAACTCTTTTGGCGCCCAATTCTGATAGTATTTGAAGGGTTTCACAACCCCTTAGGTAAAAAGACTCGAAACGTATGAGTACCTCTTTTATTTCTTCACAAGTTACTCCTCCATCATCCTCATACTCTGGCCCAAATGACAGGTACCTCTCAAATATTTTGGGAAGAAATGATGCACCCTTCAATTTTCCAACATAGAAGTGGAATTTCTGTATGGTACGATCTCTCCATGGTTGGCTGTTTTGGAGAAAGTGTTTCAGACAATTCCTTGTTGTGAAGTGGAATTTAAGTGAAGAGAGCCGTGTCAAGCTGCCAACCTCTTTTGCAAAAGTTTCCAAACTTTCTTCATCATCCCCTTCCATCCTTTTAATACTCAATTCTTGAAGCAGGGAAAGTCTGGATATGGTCACACTGCAAGGAACCATCTCATCTTTGTGGACTCTCAAAATTTCAAATTTCAACCTTTTAAGGCTGGTCAACTTCCAGATCTCACTAGGTTGATACTGCATATTGTACACATGGAGCACCTCAAGTCTCTAGAGCACACTTACTTCCTGAGGGAGAGCCTGTAAATGGTAGCATCCATTCAGAAGCAATGCTCGAAGGTTGACCAAATTTGAGATGGAAGATGGCAATGAGGAGATGCCACTTCTTGATAGATCCAAAACTCGAAGGTTCGGCATGTGATTGAAGAAACATTCAGGTATTGCCAGCTTGGGACATTTTGGCTGAAGCAGCAATGTTGACAGCTTGGGACATTTTGGCTTCTCTGGTAATTTGTATCCCTCGGCATCCATAAATGAAATCCTACATGCTTCTTCCCATTCCTTATCATCAGGTATTTCCTGCACGGACATGGGCAGTCCAGCTCTCACCATGAACCTGCTCTCCTCTCCTCCTGCAGAAGTCATCATCAGAACTAAATCTCGAACCACATCATGCATCTTTACATGTTTTTCATCCTCACAATTCTCCAATAGAGATGCGCCAATAAGGTCATGTAATTTCGCACACCCATCATCATAAGCATCTTTCAAAGTCCCTTTACTCCAAAGAAACCCCTCTGCTCTCCAATAAGTGATCAGCCAAGATTTTTTAATCTTTTTGTCTTCTGGATACAAGCCACAATACAGAAAACAATTCTTGATGCTGTCATCCTTCAACGCGTCGTAACTGACCTTCAATGACTTGAACACATCCTCATTCATATCTTCCATGTAAGACATAGCTGGTGAATTCAACTTGTTCAAAAAATTACGCCACACGCTTACATCTTCAACCATTCTCAACACCCCACCTGCTACTTTTAGTGCAAGAGGTAAGCCACCACACTTACTGACGATTTTTTCAGCAATCGGCTTGATGGTTGGGAGCAATGAGATTCCTCCCGCTTTTGAGTTAAACAATTTCCTTGCTTCACTTTGGGCTAAAACTTCCACTTTGATCTCCTTATCAGTAATCATTTTTCGACAAACTCGAATATCTCTGGTTGTCAGAACAATTTTGCAACCCTTCTCTTGACTTGTACTTGGTATACCCACTCTACTCAAATCCACTTCTTCCCAAACATCATCCAGAAGCAACAAATACTTCTTGCCCTTGAGTTTCTCAAACAACATTATTGATACTCTATAATCTGGTTTATCCTTTACATCCGGTAATGACAAGCGCAGTGCAACTTCATCTTGAATCTTCCTAATGCTCCAAGATTTTGAGACGGTTACCCATATTACAATATGAAACATAGTTTGAATTTCAGGCTCATTATTCAAGACATTCATTAAGGTTGTCTTTCCCACCCTACCCATGCCCCAAATTCCAATCTTTTGGACACCCTCGTCTCTTATGGAATCTCGTATCTTTTGCAAGGTGAGATTAGTTGAATTCCCCATTATCAAAGCATCAGCAGGCCTCTCCTCAACTATTTTTGGTGGCAAATCAATGACAAAACCATCTTCAAACCTGGATTCCTCTTGGAGCTCTTTAACCTGCTCGATCATTTCCACCACATGCTTACCGAGCTTCACACGAGAAATGACATCTGGAAACCATCCATTAAAACATCTTTTACCAATGAGCTGCTCATCTTCTTTCGCCTTCTTATCAATCTCATCCACCCTTTCAAGCCAGCCATTGCATTCTCTTGTGGGACCCTTTTGTAGCTTAACAAGGTCAATCTTATATATAATGTCATCCCTTCTATCGCATAATTTTTTTACTCTCCCGCTCAGCTCTGTGAAATTCTTTGACAGGTTTATCGCATAATCCACACGTCTACAAATGGGTGTGCACATGTTTTTTGCAATATCGTACAAAGGTTGAATCAACTCCATTGCCTCTGCGTGAATTTTGAATGCAACATAAGTAACATATATATATATATATATATGAAGTTGGATATGAAAATTTTGAAAAGTCTATTGCAATGGTTTGCAAGTGTAAGCTATAACCTATCTACTGACGAATTGATTTTATTGCAATTATGTAAGTTCTTAGTTTTTGTTTGTTTGATATTGCACTTGAATAGTTTAATTTCTTAATTCTGCGTTTATGCATTTATTTTTCACATCATGGGCCTCGGAGTGAAATGACATGATGATATAATGGGTTATATCTGAACTTAAAAAAATAAACAAAATAAAAATCTGAACTTATTACCTATCTGCATTTATGCATTTATTTTTCACATGACGGCCCCGGACTGACATGACATCATGATATAATGGGTTATATTTGAACTTATTAGGGCATATCTGTAACTATTTTATGGCCTAATTTTTTTTACACTCTAATAAATAGTAGTAACACATAGCTAAACTCAATAATTTTGTTTTTCAAATATTTATGGTTTATTACATTATTTTTCTTTTTTTTAATTTTTATGTGAAAAATAGTTTTATTATGTCTCATGTGATGGCATTCAAATTCTAAAATGTGTCCTCACTCACTTTAGGAAAATTATGAATATGTAGATGTCGAAAGACAAAGGCTTTTAGGAGTTGATCGAACACTAGCATGTGAGTTGTGTCCCAAAATTCAATGTGAGATTGTACACTTGTAGTTCGTTCAATGTGGTAGTTTGTCAATATCTCTTGCACCACTCACGAGACACCCGCCTACAAGGTCGCAACAATCACCCCCCACCTTCCTTAGAGGTCCAACGTCCCTATTGGCCATACTTTCATCTAGGTCGTTATAAATGGTATCAGAGCCTTACTTCCTTCTGGGTCGTTATAAATGGTATCAGAGCCTGACCCAATCGGAAGTGTGGCCAACGTGGACATTGGGCTCTTAAGGGGGGTGATTTTGGGGACCTCGTGGGCGGGTGCAAGAGGCACCGATTGGCTACCATACTGGGCGAGTTACAGGTGCACAATCTCACATTGCCTGTGTATGGAAAGGAAAAATGTATATATAGGATTTTTACACTCCAATTGGTACGGCCTTTTAGGGTAAAACCCAAGAGTAAAATCATAAGAGCTCGGATACACAATGTGGACAATATCATACTATGTGGTGGGGTGAATCGTAACATAAAATATGTAGAATTTTTATTTTTATTTTTCATAATGATATGTATCTTAGAGTTGTGGACTAAGAGCGCCACTGAAGCAGGCCATTCAATGTCTTTTAGAATCCAAATTTAATAGAAGTTATGATTTGTGTATCTTGTGATCATCAAATTAAAATAGAGTTTAAGCATGATATATATATATTTTTCATGTTTAAGCATGATTTTTTTTTTTTTTTTTTTTTTTTTTCTTCATGTTTAAGCATGATCGTTTGAGATCTTTGAATCTTGAATTGAATATAAATTATGATTTTATGAAGTTTAAAGAAAGTTAGGCGCTGTTTAGTAAAATTAAAAATTACGCGTCCAAAATTTTTAGGAGCTAAATTTCAAGTGCTGAAATTTTAAATTTTAGTTATAAATTATGATTGGCCTAGGAAGTTGTTGGAGTCTTTTCCTGAACAGGTGGGCTGGGCCGGATCCGGCCCAGTGGGATTTTTTTGTCCCTTCAACTACCCATTTATGAAAATAAGACAGGAGGATATAAAAAGTTGTACTATATTATGGTATTAAATTAATAAATCATACTGTTGAACAAGCGGTAAGACTAAAATAAATAAATAAATAAAACATTTAATACTGTCTGAACATATATAGATACATACATATATATATATATATATATATATATATATATATTGTAATGAAAAGATAAAGTCACACATGAACACTAATATTTTAACAACAAATTTTTAATACACACCTTATATTAATTCAAATTACTTCACAGCACCAAAGGAATTAAGTGACTGAAATTGTGACAAATTTTTTATCTGCCAACATACATGATTACTTTATTAGCATTAAATTAATAAATCATAATATTAAATAATAGTGGTAAAAGCAAAAATAAAAATAAATAAATAAAAATTAACATTATATGACACATACACACACACACATATATACATGTGTATATTGTGAGGGAAATATATTGTAACACATGAACAGTAACACCTTAATAGAAAATTTTAAATACACACCTTATTTCAATTCAAATAACTTCACAGTATCAAAGGAATTGAGTGGCTGGAATTGTGACAAAAAAAATTTCTGCCAACATACATAATTACTTGATTAGCATGAAATTAATAAATCATACCATTAAATAATAGTGGTAAAAGCAAAAAAAAAAATTTATGTGCGTAATATATATATGTGTGTGTGTGTGTGTGTGTGTATTGTAAGGGAAAGATATTGTAACACATGTACAGTAATATCTTAATAGAAAATTTCAAATTCATACCTTATTTCAATGCAAATAACTTCAATGCACCAAAGGAATTGAGTAGCTGGAATTGCGACAAATTTTTTATCTGCCAACATATATAATTACTTGATCACTATTATACTAATAAATAAATCATACTATTGAACACTAGTGCTAAAAGGAAAAAACAACAATTTAACATTGTTTATATATATATATAACATGTGTATGTATATAGTGCAATAGAAAGATATTGTAACACATATAAATTACTTGATTGAACCAAATGATCATTCTAACGAATAAAAGTATACACAAGGAAATTGCATGCACAAATTACATTGCTTACCTAAATGTTGCCCTGGTGGACAGCTTTACGGAAATATGGATTGAAGCGTTAAAATTATGATTTATTTGACGGAAGAAAGCTGCAAACCGGAGTTCAAGAGTAATATACTTTCTTGCATACACAAACTTACTTATATATGTATCTATTGATTTAGGGAGAGAGACTAAAGAAAGGAATAATTCATGAGTTGCATCTTCTTTTCTTGGGATTGTTTGTATTTCACAAGGAAGCAATATAACAAAAGGTGCTTTTCTTGGCCTGTGAACACTCATGAAAAAGATGAATTAAATATGAAACATTAAAAAATCAATTTTGATTTCTTTTGCATTTTCACCAAAAGCTATGGTAACATATAAAGTCTTTTAGGGTAAAATGTGATATTTCTTTGGTCAGGTCCACAGCTCAGGAAGAATGGAGCTAAAGTGGCATGGTTCACTGCTTGTCTTCCAAAGAATGCAGGTGGTCTGGGAATCCCTAATCTTCGCACATGGGTCAAATGGATCAACACATACCTCGTAAGAGACAGATGCATTTGCGAGATCACTGTTCCTGGTCAATGCCCATGGAACTGAAAGAAACTACTTCAGCTTCGACCAGCCATCAAACCTCTTGTCAAGCTTGAAATTGGTAATGGACTACTTTCCAATTTTTGGTTTGACAATTGTTGCTCACTTGGTCCATTCTCTTCACTGTCCCCACCTTCCATTCCCAAACACAATTTCATTTTGTGGATGGCATGTCACACTTCATTTTGTGGATGGCATGTCACACTCGATTATCTACTTTGGACCGCAAACCTATGGCTCATAGAAGTCCACCCAACCTCTGTAAGCTACATGCAAGCTTACCTGAATCTCATGACCACCTTTTCTTTCAATGCTCTTATGTTAGCCCCTTTGGGTCATTTTTACAAATAGGTTGTGCCTTCTACACTCTTCCCTCCTAGTGGATGGCAATGGTAAATTGGGGAAGATCAAACAAATGAATTACAGGGCTGTTGACTCTAAATTGTGCTTCGCTACGGTTGTTTATCATATCTGGTCTGAAAGGAATCGAAGGGCTATGAAGGGCAAATCAAGACTTGCATCCACAGTTCTTAGGCTCACTCTTGACACTGTAAGACTAAAACTGATGTCTTGTTCCTTCTATCAATCTGCTACAGCTAGGCACATCCGTCTCGGAATGGGAATTGCCGGCTTCAGCTCTTCGATCTCCACCTAAGCCCCCGGATTGATAGCTGTGCAGGGGATGCCCTGTTCGTTGTTCTGAGAATCTGTCTGATTTATATGGCCAAGTACCAACGGTCATGTTTTTAAATTTGGGGCTGGGCTTCTAGCTGGGTTGGGCTATTTGCCATTTTGTCTTCGATTGGGTCTTCTGGACCTTCCCATTAATGGGCTTTGTACTTATTACTTTTATATACACACACACACACTTGAAATTAGCCTTTCAAAAAAAAAAAAAAAAAAATGCTTTTCTTGGCCTGAGAACAAGCATGCAAAAGATGAATATCGAACATTAATTTTCCGAAGTTATATTTTAAAACTACAGCAATCATATGAAGCAAGAAAATTATATGTACTACCAAGATATATGGTTTAATGGTATTTTCCCACTCCTTCCAAAATAAAAAGCATTTTGAGTTCAAATTTTTTCCAAGAGTATTATGTGAATTATTTGGTTGGAAAAAGAGAGAAAAAAAAGTTGTTTTATAACAGCAGTTGTTGCATTGACTTCAATCAAAGCCTTGTTAGGCTGAGTAACACCTACAATTGAAGCATTTTCTGATTCAACACCATCCGTGCCTCATTCAACTGTTCCATTGATTCCCATCTTCTGCAATGCTGTCAGAAGACTGCAAGCAGAAAATAATAGTGTTTGCTCATTTCCAGGAGAAATAGGCATGACACACTCTTTTTTTTTTTCCCCAATTTTTGGAAGAGAAAATTATGAATTTTGGAATGTAAAAGCGAGGACCAGCTGATGAAAGCCAATTCTCGGATGACGAACAATAACCTCCGGTTTCTTTTGATGTTTCTACTTTAGTAAAAATCGCATTTTGCTTGCAAAATTTTTAAAGCTTGAAGCACTAGCAAGATTACTAGTGGTTATACAATTAAACCTACACAAATATTGTTCAAGAACAAAACCAGAGCAGCTTCATTCACAAATATGCAACCAATCCTGAGGGATGCTCTTGTTGCTTCTACTAAATGTTGTTAAAACTGCCACAGATGACATCAGAAACGAGGGAGGCTAAATTGTCATCCGAAGTGCTAATATCGATACTCATTGCTTTGACTTCAACAAAGCCTTATTAGGATCAAGAGAACATAAAATAGCAGTATTTTCTGATTCAGAATCACTTGTAATATATAAATTTTTGTAACAGATCTCTAAAGCTTGGTATGGCCCCCTGTTCATTTTCAGGGTAATGAGTGAATGAGAATTGATTTGCCACTTCAAATTTGTGTATCTTCGAAGATTAACAGAGAGCAATACCAATTGGTGAGGCTTCAGAATTCACATTCAATGTCAAGTTATCCAATATAAAGTTACGTATTCTTTTTCCGGATAAAAATCATGCACTAGAGAGAGAGAGAGTTCACAATTTTCACAATAGTTTATAACACTTCACAATTTTCATAATATCAGCAGTCACAAACTCTGCTTACACAGATTTTGTTGATGAATAAAGTACATAAAATAATAACAAAACATAGAGGTCTTTAGCTACTGGTCAGCTCATCGATTACATGAAATGATATAAATGGGATGAGCTCAAATCAAACAACCTTAAGACAATATATACAAATATAAGTTATGAAGAACAAACCAACCACTTGTAACAGACATGGTAAAATTCCTAAAATTGAAACCACAAATGCAAGCTCATATTAATTGAACTACCTTCAGACCATACTAAACAATACAAAAGTGAAGCAAGGTACCTATTAAAGCCAAGAAGCGCCAAGTAATGACATTTCCAATGAAAAACATCAGTGACGTGCCAAAACATACTGATAACTGTAGAATTGCCAAAACATATAACAGAAGAATTGATTCTTTAATCCAAAATTATGATAATTTTGATCTATGTTAATTTTAATTTACCTGATTCATTGATGAACATCCTCCTCTAATATTCTTAGGTGTGATTTCTGCTATATATACGCTTACCTGTTTGGCAATGAGAATGTAAGCCAGATGATGCTGATACATGGACAAAGAAATCAATAATCTGCAACACTTACCACATAACAATTAATCCCAACTCCAACTCCCAATAAGAGTCTTCCAATGTCAAGCCACCAAGCTCCCTTTTGACAAGAACTGAACAATTAATGTCAATCATGCCATCCAACAAAATGAAAAATAAAATTCTCCTGACTTCATTTACATTGACTGGTCTGTCACTCTCTCTTTCTTTTGCTGTGGGTTTTGGGGGGGGGGGGGGGGGGGGGAGGGGGGGCCCTCTCTTATGAACAGTCAAAATACTTTTAATTAATATCTTTCTCGAGCAACTTCATAGAAAAGTTACTAATAATGTTGTGGAAAACAAGGTAAAGATTGATCCCAGCGTGTAAGTTGAACAAAACAAGAATGAAAATAGGTTCACTTAGAAGTTTTTCGTAATTGCACTTGATTTCCCAGGGAAGTAAATTCCTATGAAGTTGCTTTATGGACACCTTAATGCCCCTTGATTGGTAAGATGTGTGTGAACATATAACATTTGCAGTAGGGAAACAAGCTTAATATACCTTTGCGAAAATTATTGAAAGCCACCCCATGATGCAAAATATTTGCAAGAACCACATAGCCTGTATAACAACATCAACCAAAATAAAAGAATTTATACTATGCCCAGAGGCATCTGAAGGGTAGGGGGAAAAATAAGTAAAAAAATTTACTCCTTTCCGGCCAATGAGATCTGTGACTTTTCCACTTATTACTGCACCTAACGTTCCTCCAATTGTCAATGTTGATCCGAAAACTGAGTACTGCACAAAGTGGAAAGAGAATAAACAAAAATTGATCAAACAGAAAAGAATATAACTAGCATTGACATGAAACAATCTAATGCACTGCTTGACTCTGTTGTCTCAACGAGTGTCTTCAATATCAATTGGCTCCTTACATGTACTCAAATTCAAGTAGTATGATAAATAGAGCTCTAACTTTTTAGTAAATTCACTTAACATGGTGTAGCCCAGTGTAGTTGTTCTGTTCCAAACCCTTAACTTTGTTCATGTCCTATAGACATTATTAAACAGCACATTTCTTATCCTTAGCCCCGCCCTCCATATATATATATTTGAATTTTCTATAAAACCCAAGTTAAAAAAAGTTTTTTTTATTTTTTATTTTTTTTATCATACAGCTATTAGTAGACCCCAAACACCCTAAGAAAAGGAAAA